CTTCATCCGGTAGCAAATTTGGAAAAAGCCCAATCACGTACAACACTTCTGAACTACACATCAGTGCGAGTGGAGTAAAACAAAGCGACACTGACCTGCTCCAATCTCGCTGTAGATTTGGAACGCATCGCTGAAGCGTCGCTTTCTGTAAAGGTCGAAGGCGTAGTAATGTTTAATGTCATGCACGCGTTTGGTGCGCTCGTCGTTATTCTCGTCAGGAATGTTCGCAGCTAACTGCACGGCCAACTCGTACTTCTTCTCTTTGACCAGTGATGCAATGTTACAGCGAAGATTGGGAAGGGCGTTGAAGAAATATAAATCGGTTTGATTCGCAGTCGGATTGCACGATGCGTACAAAGCTCCGCTAAAGTCACAAAAATCATAAAGTAAAATTAATTCAACAAATAGCATAAGATCGAAACCGCATAGTAAATGACACATTCTTTCGCACTTTTGATCCAACGAGTCACAACATGTCTTAAACTGAATAAACATAATCACATTGAAAAACAAGACGCATCTTTCTATTAATTTTGTTAATTTGTATTTGCCAATCTTATAGCGAGTATGGCCATCTGCTTCATCCGAGTTATTACTTAGCGTTCAGAAACAAAGCGGTAAGAAGAAAAGCAGAAAAGACAACATCACGCTTTCTTCGCAGATTAATCAGGGCGGTAATTGAAAATCCTACCATTCCACATAATCAAAAGCCCAATTCCAAAGCAGACCAGCTTAAAAGGCACAAGAAACTCTTTCAATTAAGTGCAAATCAATAAGTCAAACATAGTAATGAAGGAGAAGGCAAAAAATAGAAAAATCCATATTCATTAAGTGACGGTTCGGAACTTTCAACGGCGTTTTTACTTCAGCACAAACTGAAAATGTACACGACTGCACATTTTAATTTGTGCTAAGGAAAGAACATCGTTGCACGATCGGAAAGCATCATTCGATAACGATACCATTTTAAGCATCCAAAACTCTGGTCCTTTACCTGTTATAGTTAACAGTCTGCGTATGCCTTTTTGAACTGAAAATTACAATATAAAATTTAAGATACCAACGCCCATTAGAATTCTAAAACACGGCTGAAAACGGTTCTGCCTGATGAAGGTGCCTTTGTTACAGACAGAAAGGAACCGAAAAATTACACTATTTAAGTGAACTTCCTTGAGTAGACTTCATTAACGTCCTGTGGCGTTTCTCAAACATACTCGGACATGAGAAAAAGAACTGCTAGAAGCCCTCGAAACATTCAGGGATCAACATATAGCTGTTTGTGTCACCCATTTAAAACTAATTATAATAATCCGCTGTTTGACCTATCCTTGTTACGGTTGCACAATGAACAAAACTCGACCTAGGGGGGTCCAACTTCCTCTATTTTCCGCTTTCCACTCACCCCCGCTGCTGACCAAGTAATTGTGCCATCGGATCATGCCAACGTGTTTGTTCACACCCGGTTCGACACTGGCAGTTCAGCCTGCAACTCATGACGTCTATCAATTGTCTCCTAGGTCAGTCACATGGCCAGTCATGATTTCATCATTCCCAAAATGCAACTATCCATCATTCGCTACGAAGTCGGTACTTAATATATAGCCTTCAGACTTACGTCCACGGTTCACATCCATAGATGAACACTAGAAGTACAAACCTCAAGTTTTGGATTTCGACCATATTTAGGTTTCAGGCATAACAATATTTACATCATCTAACAATATTCAAAGCTACTGTTTATTCTTCTGTTGATTTCATGTAGTCGGCTCTCCGTCGAAGATATGAGACCACAAATTAACGTCGTTTTGCACATCTTCAAGCGTACGTCCGCTGACTTCACCATAATGTCGGATCACGTATTTGTTAAACATGACCTCAATCATCTTGAGGTTAATTTACGGACTTGCTTTGCTGCAGGTATCGATCATCTTTGGAGTTCATCTGGTAATCACGAGAGATTAGAATATTATCCGTAAACGCCAAGCGGCTTAAGTAGTGCGCATTTAAATTCGGTTTCTGATTTTCGAAATCACAAAAATTTTATCTACAGCTGCTGTGAATATCTTCGATGATGTAACATCATCCTGGTTGACACCTAATTCGGTTTGCTTGTGCTTTCGTGAAGCTTAGCTAGCAAGTATTTGCGTCCTTGGCACGAAGAAGACCAATATGTAAGCAGCCATATTCGCCGTACTCATGCACAGTGCCGATAGATCTGCAGTCCTGAAGTGGCACTGAAGCTCGTGCAGACAGTTTCGAAAAATGTTGTGTGCATTATCTTCAAAATGCGATGGTACTGCTGGATCACGAACAAACAAGAGCTGATGATCACTGATTTGAGAAAACTGTCAGATAAACTCAGAGACCGGCGCCTGGCTTAATTTCATAAAATCGCCCTAAAAGAGAATGCACATATATTCAAAACTTCAGTTCTCTTCGGAACCTCACAGTGGGCGCAAACGCATAGGAGGGCAATATAAATCAAGGAAGATTCCTTGAGGGAGCTTTGCGTACTGAGAAAAATATGGTCGTTGCCACAGCAGTGAAGTACGCCATGTATCAAGATCATACAACAGGGTTACTCTTCTATTTGCGCCTTAATAACCTCAGACGACGGTGACAAAACAGTAAAGATGAAGAGATCATAGCGATGAAGACTCTAAGTCGTTTATCAATTCTATGGCTTCTCAAGGAATAGAGTACATTCCGAATGTACATTGAGTCAAGAATGTTCTAGAAATCTACGAACCCCAGACAAGGGGGAAGCTGATATTCATTGCTTGCCTGAATATTTTTCTAATACATATATTTAAACACATCAAAAATCATACATGATTTCTTTATGCGGGAGATGATATAATCCTTTGGTAAGTCACAAACGGGAAGAGCA